CGCAACACCCTCTTCCCTTTCAGCATAAATCTTGATCAGCACTAAGAAAGGTATCATACAGAGTGTATTTGTTCGCACCTTACGCTACCAGAGCCAGACATGGTTACTCACAACAAACCAGGGGAAAACATTAATTAGTAACTAGGGAAATGAGGTGTTTGAGAAGGCTTTCATGAGTGACCAGAATTGATAAAATCAGGAATTAGGGTATTAGAGCAAATATCGGCACAGAAACAATTCTGCTTCATACAAAGCAGTAAAATCAAATGGTTAGCCTACTTAGAGAGAATGTCTTGTGACTTCCTAGCATACGAGGCAGACACAAGAAAAAAGAAGAGCGACACCACAAGGTGGATCAAGAGGAAAAAATACTATCAGAGAAACTGTACAACGTCACCATGTGTCTATGATCGAGGCGGCCAGAAAAGCAAGAAGCAGAACCTTTTATCTCCCTCCATATCTGAAGCAGAACCTTTGATCTCCCTCCATATCTGAAGCAGAACCTTTTATCTCCCTCCATATCTGAAGCAGAACCTTTTATCTCCCTCCATATCTGAAGCAGAACCTTTTATCTCCCTCCATATCTGAGGCAGAACCTTTTATCTCCCTTCATATCTGAAGCAGAACCTTTTATCTCCCTCCATATCTGAAGCAGAACCTTTTATCTCCCTCCATATCTGAAGCAGAACCTTTTATCTCCCTCCATATCTGAAGCAGAACCTTTTATCTCCCTCCATAGCTGAAGCAGAACCTTTTTTCTCCCTCCATATCTGAAGCAGAACCTTTTATCTCCCTCCATATCTGAAGCAGAACCTTTTTTCTCCCTGGATATCTGAAGCAGAACCTTTTATCTCCCTCCATATCTAAAGCAGAACCTTTTATCTCCCTCCATATCTGAAGCAGAACCTTTTATCTCCCGCCATATCTGAAGCAGAACCTTTTATCTGCCTCCATATCTTCTTCTTCTTCTTCGTTCACCGGCTGTGAATTCCGGCAGAAGGTCCTGGTTAATCGTCCGCTTGGACTTTTGGCTTTTACCTGGACCTGAGTTTTGCGTGTAAACCGTTTTGCTGTTCCTTGCCTCATGGGCAGCTGTACTCCGACTTCGAGAGAAGACGTCAGGCCTATTTCTAGGATGACTGTGGCCATTGTTTTGTGTGGGTCGAGACGTTGCCTGATTTGTGTGGTGTCCACTTTGTCCCCTTCTCAGCAGGTATTGCCCCTGGAGTACCCCTTAGGGGCAGCCCCCCTGTGGAACAGTTGGCCCTCAAGGGAAGGCAGGGGCAGATCATGGGCATTCCCCGTCATCCAAGGAGGCAAACGGCGCTCTGGTTCTGGGCTCACCCAGGGAATCGTCACGTCCTGCACATGCCTGCTTGACCTCACAAGCGTATTAGGCCTCCTGCTCGACAAGGGCTGCGCCCTCAGGACGTCAGCGGGGAGCAGCCCGCGAATTTTAGACTTTTGTGACCACCCAAATAGGTACTTTTTCTTTGCACGTTAGGTATCTTTGACGAGCCGTTAGCCCGACAAAATTCAACATCCTGCGTCAGGCATGTCGTTATCTGTTTGGTCCCAGCACTCGGGCGAGTGGGGTCTTTTTGTGTGGACATTTGGACTTTTCCGTTCAATACGATTTGTGATGGTCAGATTTTGAGCTTACTCGTGTGACGTAGGTTCTAGTTTTGTTGGACTTAGGCTTAGCCAGCCGATGGATGGTTGCTGTCTTGGTGTACCTCAGCGCGGGGACGACGACACTGATGGTTAACAGAGGATGTACATGGGTAGAATCTTGCTGCGAGACGCAACCCACAGGAGATGTTACTCGTCTGTGCTCCGGGTAAATCTCTAGGTCAAGGGTTGAGTCTCAGCAGAACAATGTTCTCTTCACTCCACCATCTTTTAACCAAGGGTTGTAATTTTAGTTGTACATTCGGCATGTTCCTAATAAGTTTTGATAATCTTTTTCACCCATGATGAGAGCCACAAGGACACATCACCTCTGGGGGCCGCCGAACTCCGAGATCCCCTGACAGCTCTGTCAATGCTCATTTGAGACATTATCCCTGGCGCACGACAAGGACGTTCTGCAGGGGTCTTGCGTGAGGTTCCGTACAACCAGAACAGTGAAGGACTGGCGCCCGAGTGACGTACGGAGTATCTCCTTATACACATCATATTGGACTTAACTTTCCCTCACGCCTGTGACATAAATCACCGCGCCACGCCTCCATAGCTGAAGCAGAACCTTTTATCTCCCTCCATAGCTGAAGCAGAACCTTTTATTTCCCTCCATAGCTGAAGCAGAACCTTTTATTTCCCTCCATAGCTGAAGCAGAACATTTTATCTCCCCCCATAGCTGAAGCAGAACCTTTTATTTCCCTCCATAGCTGAAGCAGAACCTTTTATCTCCCTCCATATCTGAAGCAGAACCTTTTATCTCCCCCCATAGCTGAAGCAGAACCTTTTATTTCCCTCCATAGCTGAAACAGGCACTAAACACGTGGTTTAGAGTGCAACAACAATTTTTTGCTGAACGACATTGGCCATATATCTAAGCAATTATAATGCTTGCGACGACTTGTACATTGTTTATAATTCTGACAAAATGAATGCTCAGTTAATTATCTCACAGTGCCTTCTGCAACCACCAAGTCGTCTTGTCTCTGGCCGAAAGAAAAACACCATCCGGTAATTCCGTGCAGCAGGGTACCAGCCCTGAGCTTTATGAACTCAGGTGGGCCCACCTCCGAATGCGTCTAGGAATCGTGGGCCGAAACGCGTGTCGACGAGGATAATTTCTATTGACGACTGGTAGATCCCTGCTGTACTTGCTCCCTGTGAGTTTATTCCTATTGCAACACCTGTTGGATTTTGTTTCATGCTTTTGTAATAAAGCTATTCCAACGGGTTTCAAATGATCCCTGCTAAAATAAACTGCATTATCGCAGCATAAATTAATTAATATTCTTTTGAATGTACAAGAGTAACATGTAAACAGCACTAAAAGCTTTTGCTCACTTTATTTGACAAACATTGAACGAAATATTCTTTTTGCTGTTAAATTCGGCTTTTGTTAAGACTGTTCTACATTTAGCTTTGATGATCTCACATCTGCTGTTAGCAGGGTTGCCAATCAAATGAAAACATTGACTTACTTTTACTCGTCGTACTTGTTTTGATGGCATGTTTCGGAAGACTTAATTTTGCTATTACTTCAGTTTTTCTTCTGTTAAAACTAAGACTTTTGTTTTAACTAAATGTTATAACAGCTGTCATTTCTTGTAGCTGCATTACATTTTCAGAGATCAACCGGCATCATTAACATATTGCAGGCTATTTACATTGTGCTGACCTACTGTTATCCCTGGCACATATTGTATGAACCCCCTTATTGTTTTCACTGTACAAACACAAAAGATGATAGTTATCAGCACTGTTCACCTTGTTTAATATCTTGAAAATTTCTTTTCAGATTGACTGTTCTCATAACTGTTCTGTTGTTTTAATGACATCATGAGACATACTAAACAATTCGACGTGGCAGTGGAATTTTCCACGTTTGGACAAAATGACTTATCGTTTCCTGACTTGTTTTTAATTGTAACTCATCTCATCCTCTTGTACTTGCCATGTAGAGGCCAAGTATCAACATTGAAAGTCCCTGATTGGGTGCGCCGTACATGAGGATTGCCAGAAACTTTGTTACCATGTCTGTCCAACGTTCTTTCAGTAACTCTGCCAAGTTGCTTTAGCGCCTGTTTAACCGTGTTTCCTTGTAAGCCCATCTGCTTCAGTTCATTGTAAGTGGAGGTAGAGATTAGCCATCTAGCACCTACCTCGACGGGCCAGAGTTTTGCCTTCATGGCTCACAGTCAAGCCATCACTTCCCTGTACTTCTCGAGCTTGTACAGATGTTGGTCTTCGATTCGCTACTCGAACGACACGCTCAGATCTATCACGACGCATTTCTATTGTTCTACCGTAGAGTGCAAAGTTTCCATACTGGCAGGTTATATCACCTTCCCCCCCCCCCCCTTTTTCCACCTCACAGCTGGGGTGGGGTGTTAGAAAACAATTGGGTCACATTTTTAGGAGAAAGTGGGAACCATATGAAATAAATGTATGTAAATATATTCCAAGATGAGAGCAATATAATGTCAGAATTAAACAAACATAAGAAGAAGCTATAGTTTCCATGTGGGTGTTTGCTGATCCTGAACTTGTGCATATGTTTATCTTATTGTAAAATAGCCTATAAAACATTCATTTTGTCCAGTCACATAACACAGTGTGTCCTAGGGTCACTGAGAGACGTTGACTGTTTGATAAGATCTGTAATTATTTTTTCCCCCTAGAGGTCAGATGTGCTGAATGTGATATTTTCGTTTTGATGTCCGACCAGGCATTGCTTTTTTCTTGATCCAAGTCTTTTCTGGACTTCTTCTTCTGTCCACCCTAGTCCCAAACCGGGCAGTCTGGTTCTTGAATGACCGGTAGAACTTATTTTTATGTCCACATGATTTCATTTGCGTCTTTCTGTCGTTTTAAAAGGTATTCATGTATGCAAATGCACTGGAAGATTATCTTTTTGATTCACTGGAAAAAGTTTGGGACCTTAATAATAACTGAATCACAGTAAGCTCTATAGTTTGAACAATAACGCACATCATTTTTAGTTTCGACACGTGTCACTTAGATCCTAGACATTTAAACTAGTTACTTGTTTTAATTGTTAAGCACTTATATAAGTTTTTGTGTGGGGGTGGTGGGGGTGGGGAGGAGAGGGCGGGGAGGGGGAAGCTTCAGACTATCTAATTGTAAATATCTCACATAGACAAACACATATCTTGTAGGAATGTCTGCAGAGCTGGGATCACCAGTAGTGGCTTCTAGGTTAGGCAGTAGGAAACCATTGTTATTTTGCTATGTAATTCGATTAATGCGCTGTCATTTGCAAATTATTTCTACTTTCAGTAATTAAAATATCTTTAGGATCATGGAAAATATTGTGGGGTCTTTAAGCAGACTAGACACCGTACCTAAACGGGTTCAGTTTTTGGCGGACAATTGTCCAGACAGAGAATTATTTGTGTTCTATGAGGGAGAGAAGCGAACCTCGTTCACCTGTGTGCAAGTGTTTAGGTTAGCTGGGAGGTTTGCCGATAGATTACGTCATCGATACGGTTTCTCACGAAACGACGTTATTTTAAACACCTTACCTAACTCACCTGAACGGATGATCACTGACCTTGGCATTACTCTAGCCGGATGCACGTGCATGAATGGACAGGTAAACAAATTTCATTTTCCTTCTGTGCCATTAAATCTCTCATGTACTCGAGTCGTCATTACAACAAGAATTAAATAATGTAGTCCAATGGAGCAGTGCAAACCTAATGCAAATAAACATTAATAAAACCAAATCTATCCTAATAACGACCAGACAAAAACTATACAGTTTAAATTCTCAGAGAACGCTTCAACTCTACATTGGGGCACTCAAGTAGAAAATGTAACTGAGCACAAGACACTGGGGCTGATAATTGATGCAAATCTAACCTTCAACTCACACGTACAAGCATTTGTGAAGCAAACAGCTAAAAAGGTTTACCAGCTTGCAAAAATTAAAAACTTTCTTGATGAACACACAAGAAAGATATTCTATATTTCTCACATCCAGACACATGTAGACTATTGCTCTACAATATGGGATGGCTGTTCCAGCTCTGTTATCAAGCGACTCACATCACTGCAAAAGCGCGCCATTCGCTTAATTAGTAACAATCAAGGAACAGTGAGCCCCGAAACATATAAAGGTCTTAGGCTACTACCGCTTCGTGAACGTCTACTTTTCAATAAGGCGAAATATACTTAAAAATATTATCTCAAAAGGCTCCATGTTACTTAAGGCCGTTGTTTAAATATAATGAAAGGCATAGTAAGCGCCTAAACATATTACACATCCTTAAACCTAGGATAGACCTTTATAAAACAAGTTTGTCATATTCCGCAGCTCAATTGTGGATTTATCTACCACAGCAAATCAAAAGTATCACTAGTCCATATACATACAGTCGGAAACTGTTCGAATATTATCTCAGCACCGATTATATGCCCCCATAGAAGATAAAACATATGTGAAAAATACGGCCATTTTCCTTAGATTTGTTACAACTAATACGTTTTACTGTAGTTAAAAATGTGCACATTCCAGTGCTTGTATTGATTATTTTGATGCTATTGCGAACTTTTAATATTACTTGATGTGAGAATGAAATGATGTAAGAATGGAGGGAGACCTCGAAGGGCAGAATGTTAGACGGGCCTGCGTGCCCAATTCCTAACCCTTTAAAAATAAAGGATGTTCGTTCGTTCGTTCGTTCATAGGGCTAGCAGTTGTTGTTTTCTATTCCGTTGTATCCTGTGTAATCACTTCCATATCATGGACTTTGTATCCTGTGTTATCACTTCCATGTCATGGACGTTGTATCCTGTGTAATCACTTCCATATCATGGACGTTGTATCCTGTGTAATCACTTCCATATCATGGACGTTGTATCCTGTGTAATCACTTCCATTTCATGGACGGAATCCTGTCCGGCACAGTTGGATTCTTTAATTAACGTTTCCCTTAGGATTTCTCCTTCGAAATCCTCGTTTCTTTAACCCCCTACCCTCTCTCACTCACTCTCTCTCTCTCTCTGTCTCTCTTGAACCTCCCCCCCCCCCGCACAATTTGTCCCCATTTCCAACTTCATTGCTCCTCTTATAAATAGCGATTCTAGAGGTACTCATACTTTCGCTTTTTTTTTCTTCACCGCTCCTAAATTCATCACACTTTATGTTAATCATTTTCCCAAGGCATTTGTTTTCGTATACATTTAACATTTGTTCCATATTTTCAAGAAGGCGCTTCAAATGAAATCCACACCGCTGTGTTACACCAAGCACTCAGTTCAACAGAATAGAGTTCTTGCATCAACGAAACCTGGGTAAAAACCATTCGGTTTTCAAATCTAGCGATCAGCGGGCAAAATGCTATTTTGGCCGGATGCCTTTTAAACATGGCACATTAAAAGACATGCCTCTTGTTGACGCCATGTTTAACCATAGAAAAATAGATTACCCCATAATGTTGTCATAGCTTTTTGATGTCCAGCTGTGAATTACGTCAACAGGAATAGATACAGTGACGAAGTCAGGATTATTTAGCCGCTTGTGTAACGTCCCTTCTGATATATTGAGGTATTTATGTTACATTAGCAATAAGACAATCACTATAGCTTGTTTATGTTGTTTTGGTCGATGGTATAAAGCCAGCCATTTCATGTGAATTCCAACGGCGCAGAAAGTGTGTGTTTATGAGGAAACCTTTCTGTAGTGAAGCGGAACCTGGACAGCTCAAATTGTTGTGATCAGACACTTGACGGTAATGTTTATAGTCCAGTTATCACACAGATCAGAGAGTTCTAAAAGCTGTCAGACATCGGTAAGAGAGTCTAGCCATGGAAGATTTTGGACAACGTAATTTTCCTAAAGAAACAGTGAATGCACATTCAACTAAAACTAATCTTTGTTGTGGTAAGTCATGTAAAGATGCCCCAGCCGGCACTGGCGCATTGGATGTATGCTCCTAGACTCGTATACTTAAAGACTAATGACTACTCAATGGGTGGAGGGGTTGACAATCCACAAACCGCCTTTACATTCAAACACATTTCCTGGTAGTCACATTTTTGGAGCCAGAGTGGACATAATGTTGGCAGCAAAGCCACATATAAACTGCTTTGTGAGGACGTACCCTATTATTTATACGATACACCTTGCCCATTTCTGTAACTGCTAAACTGTCTATTTATATCTCTACAGATTATTTTTGCAGATTCTTCAGGCTTATTTCTGTTGGCTACAAATAGCCGATGTAAGGGCATTATAATGAAACCAGCCGACGAATCATCAAATTGGCATGTTTTCAATCCTTACATCACAGGGAATGTGTCAGATGATATCATCCAGTTGTCATGTGACAGGATACCTGACTTGACCACAGTAATTACAGTCTCCAGAAATAGTCAGAGGTAGGCAAAATATGTTTATATTTACGCGTTCTTCCAAAAAGAGGGTTTGATCGTTTGTAACTGTGTGGATATATAAAAATAACTGTTTCTTTATCTCCACCTCCCATTCGCCCTTTTGTGTAGGTCTTCGTGGTCCTTGTCATATTCTTCTTCTTGATATTATTATTTTCCCAATCGACATCTCCAGATGGAGCACAGGCGCCCACCAGCTACGACAAGTACTCATATCCCTTGTCATTACGCCCAGTTCAAAACGGGTTTTTTCCATTTTTGTCACCCCATTCACTACTTTTCCTCCCGTGTGGGTTCCGGGGTCCTATTAAAGGGAAAACAAGAATAGACCCACTGCCTACCCATAAGCATGTCGTAAGAATCTACTAACTGGGAGCTTCCTTCAAAGTCAGAGTGCATCTGCCTGAGAGGTGAGGAATCAACAGGTTGCACACAAATGTGTCAGATCTGTCAAACGGATACACATGCAACACCCAGGTTCTGGAACAGGACCAGCAGTACAGAAATGGACGAACAACATAAACTTTTCACCAGAGTTTACAACTGGTGAACGCAAAATAGAAGAAAAAGAACTACTCTCTTCGCCTGTTTTATTGTGATCTGCGCTTGTGCCTTTCAGGTTTGGCAGTGTAAGGACATTCTGGTTATATTATTGTCATGGTTTCTCAATCTGCAAAACTGCTTTATCATTTTCCATGTCCTCTTCCTCCTCCGTGTTCCCCTCATTTGTTTGTAAAGTTGTCGTTGTCGATCGGCTGGTTTCTGTTACCACCGTGTACATGGCCTGTTGTAGATTTCTGAGTGCGGTGACAGTTTGTAATTGACTGAGAGTCCAGTGCTTGTACAAATGTCAACTATCTTCAGCTTTAGTATCACTGCAGTGCTAGCATTAGCACCTTGGACTATAGGGGTTGTTCCATGCATCCATCACTTGCGTGGGTGACCTCTAGCTCTGCTTCGACTGTGTCTACATTACAAGACTGTGAGTGATGCACTATCTCCTGACAGACTGTACACACGGCCGACCACTGTCCCCTGACAGATTGTACACACTGCCGACCACTGTCCCCTGACAGATTGTACACACTGCTGACCACTATCCCCTGACAGATTGTACACACGGCCGACCACTGTCCCCTGACAGACTGTACACACTGCCGACCACTGTCCCCTGACAGACTGTACACACTGCCGACAACTGTCCCCTGACAGACTGTACACACTGCCGACCACTGTCCCCTGACAGACTGTACACACTGCCGACAAAACTGTCCCCTGACAGACTGTACACACTGCCGACCACTGTCCCCTGACAGACTGTACACACTGCCGACAACTGTCCCCTGACAGACTGTACACACTGCCGACCACTGTCCCCTGACAGACTGTACACACTGCCGACAACTGTCCCCTGACAGACTGTACACACTGCCGACCACTGTCCCCTGACAGATTGTACACACTGCCGACCACTGTTCCCTGACATATTGTTCACACGTCCTACCACTGTCCCCTGACAGACTGTACACACGGCCGACCACTGTCCCCTGACAAACTGTACCTACGGCCGACCACTGTCCCCTGACAAACTGTACACACGGCCGACAACTGTCCCCTGACAGACTGTACACACTGCCGACCACTGTCCCCTGACATACTGTACACACGGCCGAGCACTGACCCCTGACAGACTGTATACACAGCCGACAATTGTCCCCTGACATACTGTACACACGGCCGACAACTGTCCCCTGACATACTGTACACACGGCCGAAAACTGTGTAGTACTGTGAAATAATATTACGTGATAAATCAGTATTTCACAAGTAACTGTTTATTTTTCTCCTTCCTGAATGTTTTACCGACCCTAAAACTTCCAAACATCCTTGTATGCAAGGCTGTTTTGCTCGCCGTCACGGAAACCCATTCTTTAATATGTGCTATCTTATCAGTAGCACAAACAGTTCTGAACGTGACTTGTGCCTGTGCATCCAGGAGCTACATGTTTCAGCCGATGTCCCTGTTCCTGACGACTTTAATGTACATTTTTGCAATGAAATCCTTTATTTCTCATATACGGAGGGAAATGTAACTATGTGCCGAATGCACACATTTGGCGTCTTTTGCATATACACCAAAATGACTCGTGTCACGAAACTATTGTGTCAGTTGTCTTTATTGGGGTTTCCCCTATTCATGGAAGACACTCTGAAATGATTCATCGTTGAGAAGCTGGCTCGTATTGGCCTAGGCGGTACTCTGCATCTCCAGCAACTATACAACATCACTTCAGGGATGAGGCAACTCAAGTACTAGGCTCTACAGAATTTCTAAAGATATTCCTGGACAAGACTTAGCTAGACTTTCTCACTACTGGATAGTCCTAAGACTGGATATGATCAATAATACCAGTCAAACTAACACTGTATCAACAGGAATTTCGGCTAAAAACACAGCGAAAGGGAACTGTGAAATACCAGACGCTAACAAAGGTATGTTCCATATAACAAAGTGTGATATTATAAGATCCAACAAATATATATATATATATATATATATATATATATATATATATATATATATATATATATATATATATATATATATATATATATATAAGAAATCTTAATGGAGTTGAGCTGAGTTGAGTTGAGTCAAGAATTGACATCGCAGCACTTGGTCATTCCTATGCGTGCTTCGTCTTCATCTTCAGCAGCCAGCGCAAAGCTCCAGTTCTGATAATACCGGTCACAATCTGGGTAAATGCCTGTCTTGCCTTTCCTCTAATTGTAGCGAGCAAGCCAGACCCTCTAGTTACACCCAGGTGCCTTATTCTCACCAGGCCATAATAATCTTATTTTTCTACTGATTCTATTGTTTGTTTTCAAAGGGCCTTGACCACAGCTGCATTGTCGTGTATCAGTTCCCCACCAAGTGGTGCAGATCCAGCCAGTCTATCTATTGACTACCCACAACACCGGCATGGCCTATAGAAAAGATCCAAAGTATGCTCACTACCTGTGAATTTTCCAGTGAAGCTTGCCACTCTGCTCGAAGCATTCCAGTCTTCACCTTTTTGAGCATGCTTTCAGAATCTGTTACAATTACGACATGTGTATGCATCTTGTTCTCTAGCCGACGGAGAGCTGCAGTTTCCGCCTCCACCTCCATTCTCATGCTAGATGTTGTGATGTCGTATGCTAGGCGGTCTTGCACTATAAATTTTCCACTAGCTTTCGCTACAAACCCCTATGTACTTCTCTTTCCTCTCAACACCGAACCATCTATATAGATAATCAGATCACCTGGGCGTGAAATGTCGTGAATCAACTGTTGGACTTCTACCTCCGTAGCACACGCTGGCCACTCTCTGCCCTTCCGGCCCAATGTGATCATAACACTACAAGGGTCAGACGTTTCCTCTGGTATTCTGACCCACTCCTATCCTCGCCCAATGTTCTCCAGCATGCACACTTGTCTTATTGTGTCTTCTGCTTGAGCCATCGACGATTTCCCCCCGTTCAGCCCCGACTCTTACCTGCAGCCAAAGCTACTCTGAGGCATGACTTAGCCTGCAGCGGTAGATCTCTCACTTTGATCCAGACACAAGTCCTAGTTAAATCAGCAGTTCGCCGAATCATAGCTCAGACCCTTTGATGATATAGTACAATGAAAACTTGGTTAGCCAATCATTAAACATTATGCCTCAGTATTAATCCTCTCCACCATCCATCTTCAGTTTATTCCAGATTTCAGTTGTCGGTATTCTTATGGGGGAGGGGGTGGTGGGGGGGGGGGGGAGGTAATACACCCAAGGATGATCCTTTTATGTACCTTAGCAGCACGAATAGCTATGCCGTAGATTTCACCCGTAAAACGGCGGTTATCAAGCATAAGAACAAGATCGACTGTATCTCTCCCATTTAAGATAATCTCACAAGCACACAATGGATCATGAAATAAAAATCAAGTCGAACGTAATATACAATACAGAAGACAATTTCTCCAACAAAGCAGCCGGAGTCAAACAGGAACTGCCCCTCCCAAGCGGGTCGTTCTAAAAACTCCCGGCACAGGACTTGAGGCGCGAAAGTATTAATCGGCTATTTAAGTCAACACCAGACCTGAATCGGCCATATTATTTTTACACCCAGCAATGATAAATAAAAAAGGTCTGTTTAAAAAGGATACAATATCCCAGGTAGGTTTGCCGGTCTCTGGATTTATAAGAGGTCATCCTCCATCTGAGTGAAGGTAAATCTCTCCAGCTGGGTTAAAGCTGCACTATGGGTGCCATGACAGCGGTGCACATCCAGTTATATATGATTTTACAAAAAAAAAAAAAAATACAACTTACCTATGCTTTTTTGAAGCTTCTGCGTGAAACAGTGACTTTCAAACATGATATGAAAGTAAGTTGACAGTGAAGGCATTAGAACATCTGCTAACTACAGGCTCTGCGTCTCAAATGGCCATACAAATTGAAAACTCCCCCAAGCCTGAAGCGGGAAGGATTTCTTCAGCCTAACAAAGCGGTAGGTCAACCCTGGAAAAAGGCTTCGCTACTCTTAGAAATCCCTTACCTGTGAGTAAATTTATAACATAACTCCCTCCCAATAGATTCAGGATTGAACATGATTCATTTACCTACGTCCTAACCCCTACTTACCAAAGAAGGACAATATACTTATAAAGGAATAGTCAATATTTGAATATAGATAATTTGCATAGAGGTGTACAGCGGGTGGACGGACCTAACGCAGAGTGGTGTTCTGACCGGTTATGTGACACCTCGCATGGTTCTTTTTGGGTATCACATAATGTTAGCCGTCCTGACTAATACTCCATCGCCAAAAAAAAAAAAAAAAAAATCAGTTGCTCGTACGGTGTAAACAGAATTTTCGGTTCCATGTCCACTGATGCAATCATCTTCAAAGTTTTGAGTCCTTTCTCTTTCTTTAAAAACTACATTTTCCGTGTCGTATTTCAAAGACAGACTCTTGCCAAACGAAATCATAGATAGTTTAGTGAATTACCTCTATATTACTGCCATTGATTGCCATGTCCGCAACCCATCTCTAACAATTCGACTATTTAAAGAACAACATAAGACCGCCACCTTATATGGGTTAATGATGACCGAGCCTGTTTCCTCATACCACTCACCGACCTCATCAACCGTCAGCTTCAGGTCTGCAATGTCCATTCTATTTCTCCCCTGTCTGTAGACTAAGACATCGTCGTTAAAAGTCAAGATTATCTATTGTCGCTGTCTTGCTTGCGTATACATCGAAAGCACTGAAAAATCACAGGCCCCTGTGGGGGTAGGGGTTAGGGGCAGGTGCGATACTAAATTGTTCAGAGCTACACGAGCCTAGGCGAAAGGCAGTCTCTCGTTCAAACAGGACTGGTGCAATCTAATTGACGATCCAGGGACTGATCTCTATATCTACAAATGTGTACAGTAAAACGTCATATCTAACCCTGCTATTTTGAAACCCCACAAATGTGTACAGTAAAACGTCATATCTAACAAGCTATTTTGAAACCCCACAAATGTGTACAGTAAAACGTCATATCTAACAAGCTATTTTGAAACCCCACAAATGTGTACAGTAAAACGTCATATCTAACCCTGCTATTTTGAAACCCCACAAATGTGTACAGTAAAACGTCATATCTAACAAGCTATTTTGAAACCCCACAAATGTGTACAGTAAAACGTCATATCTAACCCTGCTATTTTGAAACCCCACAAATGCACCATAAGCCAGAATCGCGGCGTTTTCACAGTTTCCTTTCTTCGCTGGCAACTTCCTTACCTTCTCGGTGAGAGTCTTTGCTTTTCAAGCTTATCCTGTTATTATTATTATAGGCCCCCTAGGACCGTACAACGAAGGACCAACAGCCGATGACACGAAGTGCCAGCATTCGGACGAGGATCCCCGGACACTAGTCCCAGAAACACCGTTCAACTGTCAGATTGTATTAGGGCCCCGACTTCAGCCGGGCGGGGTTTTAAAATAACGGAACATTCTGTTTCCCACGGGGACAGCATCCAAGCTTTCTAAAGTCTCGCCACCTGGCAATCTTCCAGGATATCCCAGGTTGCCATATTTGAGTTTATTGGTGTGGTCTGCCTCTACTCTCATGTCTACATTTTGCTTCATCAGATCTCTCAAGCCGTTTCTTGAAGACCTACAGGACAGCACTGATGATATCTTCATTGATCCTTCAGTGAGCCCCCATGATATTCTCTACGTGTTTACTACATCGGGCAGCACTGGCTACTCTAAGCTGGTACCTCGAACACAAGCTGAAGCTATTGATATTGCTGTGAACACACCGTTTTCCAAGGATGTCAAAAGTGGTGCAAGTGTCTTCTATTGTGACCGTAGCCTAGGTAAACATCTTCTTACTTACTTGTTACTTGTGATTAGTTTCGACATCCTAGCTCATTCCCCGACCCATTCTTGCGGCGCACTCCAATGCAGTAACCATATCATTGTCTCAATACCCACCAGGAGTTGATTGCCATCACTGTTTCCTTTGTCCTGCAAGCAGTTTCTGCATGCTTGTCGTTTAATATCCATTTTCACAGAGCAGTTCATCGTCGGTGATTTCTTTGTCAATGGAACGCAGAGCAATTAGTATGTCTACCCTGTCCATACTTCTCCCTTCGCTAATTACTGCAGACACGGCCATCTCACAGTTTTTTTTTTTTTTTACCCTGAGTGTCATTGTAGGTATATTCAATAACATAAAAAGACACACAAAAAAAGTTTATTGGAGTAGGGGTTCTGGATACTGTCAACCCATTCTAGAAGGAGTTTTTCTGATTGTATCTTCGCATGCTCAATCGGTCTGTCACTATCAATACCCGAGTTGCTTCTGTTCTGTCAGCCGTGAAAATTCCCATGTGATAGCCATTACCTCAATCGTCATACTACAGTAAAGATGAACTAAATACTTGGCTGTCTGCCTTTACTATCGTCACATTTACCAGCGCTGTTTAAGCACATTCAAACTACAACGAATCCCTGATTCATTTGTACAGATAATGCTTCCACCTGGTCCAGTGGGTTGTAGATAGTAGTCCTTACTTTATTATCAGTGTCTGTTTGCTCTGTTCTCTGCAATACCTGTCCAGCGTGTTCATGCCTCATTGTGCTTATGCATTCTATTTTTCTAGTGCTTGAATTCCCTCAGCGCTGATCCTGACATGTTTTAATAGGAGAATTTTACTAGAAAATAAAATATTGTAAATGATACATTTCTAAATATGTACATGTGACGAGTTGTTCTGGCGATCTCTCTTGGCTAATAAGTGAATTCTTTACAACATATATTTGCAAATTAGTTAAGCTGTTTCCTCTGCTTACGTCATCCCAGAACATACATTCTGAAGACACTATAGCTGGTTCATCTATAGGCAGCTGTGCAGAGGATGTTTTATGTCAGCAACAACACCCAAATACGCCCCCCCCCACCCCACTCCACATCCCCAAACCCCCCCCCCCCTCCCTTCCCAGAACATCTTGTGTCTAGTGAACAGGACAATCATATGTAGAATATGTCGCATCTCGAGACATGCAGTCGCTTGTGCACTCGACGATCGGTCTCATCACTTCTTTCTTGCACTTTCTCCAGTCATTCCAACTGATGTCTCCTGACTGTGAGGAGGTCACGCCCATTTCGCCTCCGGATGATTTTTTTTTCTTCAGTTTGTGCTGTAATTAGATAACTTGTTTTAAAACATAATTATATACTTTGAACGAAGTCCATTGATATCTCACGCTATAGGGTGGGTTGTATTCTTTCCTGCCAGGTTGGGCTGGTGGCTACCCGTTTTCAACATTCTGTCTGGGAGACAAGAGAGTCCTACAGGACGAGTACAGCCGACGCAGACTGACAACAGGAGAGGAGATCTGGGATGTTATCTGTAGAGAACAGTGTAACATTGCTAGTATTCGCCCCATGGACGTAGAGGGCATTGTGAAATACATCTGCAGCATCGGCGTCACAGACTACAAGCTGAAGGCCCTGGTTAGTGCTGGACAGCCCTTGACAAAGGTACTATACTAGAGCCAGCTAAGATAGAATTGTTATGTTACTTTACTGAATACACACATATGCATCAGACCGTCTGCAAATATAAAGTTTAAACGACCCTGTTCCATGCTCATAGGCTTCTGCCTTTCTATCCTCTAATGGAGCATAGGTCCTCAACTAACTAACGCCAAGTTGTTCTATCCTTCGCTATTGCATGGAGCTCTCCTCATTTCCTCCCCATCTTTCTAACTTCATTCTCCAGCTCTTTTCTCCATGTTTGTGTGTGTTGTTGTTGATCTTGTTTTTTTTTTTCCTCCCTATCATTTCTATGCCTCTGTATGTTCCAATGCAAACACACTATAGTTATGCTGTTCTCCGGTTTTTCAATGTGTGTCCTATCCAACGCCAGCGTCTTTTCCTCACCTTGGTCCACTGGAGCTTGCTTAGTTCTTGCCCAAAGCTCGACATTAGTTACTATATCTTAACATTTAATTCGCACTATTCTGCGCAGTCACCAGTTAATGAATGTTTGTAGTTTATTAGTAATCGCCTTAGTTGTTCTCCGTGTTTCCGCCCCATACACAAGAACCAAAGGCCTAAAGACGTGGGAAAAGGTCCTTTACTTATTGTACTTATTAAATATAACGATTTTCTCTCATACACTGATGTCAAATTGTCCAATATTTTTGTCATAGTTTCTCCCGCTCCTTCTCTCCAGCCTCCCACTCTAATGTCACCCCTCTTTGAAATGAAGCTGTTAAACCTGTATTTGAAGGTTATAATTAGGGTGTTAGATGAACGTTTCTTTGTTCTTGATATACTTGACTGTTGCGGATAATTGAGCTCATCTTCCCTAAGGTGCTTTCACTATTTGTCATCAATGTACGGCAGTGTTTTCTTGTATCTTCTTCTCTTCCATCTGTTGCGCTTTCTTTGGCGTTGGCGTGGTAAAGGTATTCTCTTGTTGACGACTTCAGCGGCTTCGTCTGTTGCTTCTTGTTCTCTAGCTTGCTTCCCATTGACTGTAGCTGTGAGAGGATGTCTGTGGTATATTCTGACTACTTTCATCTTGGATGCCGACTACCTTTACGTCTTTGATGTCATCTTCTGATTGATCGTCGTTTCCTGTGACTTGCTCGATTTGTTTCCATTGTTCATCTAGGGCTTGATGTTTAGATTCTATTTTCTCCATCGTGTCTTGCATGCTCTTCTGATTCCTTACAAGTTTTATATGGCTTTTTTTTATCGAGATCTGCAGTTCTTTCAGTTCAGCTACCATCTTGTCAACTCCATCCATGGGGATAGCTTTTTTCACTGCTGACAACGTCTATTTAGCTTGCGATTTCTTCGATTTCTGCGTCCTGGTGCTTTTCTCTGCTTTTCTTTCTTTTTTTCTGTTACCTCTATCTCTGTTTTCAACTTGCGTTGCTGCTTTCTTGGCACCTTTTCTGCGCATTTATATGCTGTGTTTGCCTTCGATGTGGCTTTTACAGCTCCTTGATCCCTGTTATGAGTCTGGTTTTTTTGTTTTTGTTTTGTTCAATGGAAGACATACCTTGTACTGCTTCACGATTTCGTCAGGCTTCATTCTATGGAATATTGTGGACTATTGCCGTCTTTATCGTCTTTTTCTTTCCTGGATGCAAGGGCAAACGAGGTATCTTGCTCCAATGATTGCCGAGTCAGCTCGCACATTATTTGTTTGTGTTCGGTTTTCTGTAGTCCTCGTCTCTTTTGGCTTGGCTGCACTTATTGTATAAGTGTGTACAGGAACAATATCTGCATATTTCCACCTTGCTACGGTAGCTTCTCCTGGTATTAAATACCCTTTGACACCGGTAGCACAACAGTAACCTTGAGAGGTCGTTTTCTGTTTTAGTGAATGTGGTCGGTAAATTGCCCCTCTGCATTTTGTATCTTCAGGTCTGGGTAATTTTTCTTCAGTTGATGTTTAATCTGGTCGTTGCTGCTATCCGTCTTCGCTTCTTTCGCCACCCATCGTCTGAGCTGCTGGCACATGCTAACCTCCACTGTTATGCGGTACTGGAGTTCTGGTTATTTGTTGTTGTTGCTGTATGTCGTTCAGCAACCTGTTTTCTCTTTTCTGCTGCCATGCCGTCCTTCGTCTTGCGGCTCTGTGTGACGCATCGCTTTCCCAGAAAGCCTTCTATATAATGTTGATTATTTCATACAGCCAGTCGCTAGTCTGTTTCAGTGTAGCCAAAGAATGTAGATTACCTCTTTCTGATGTGGGTAAGCAGTTCCCATCACGAGTTAATTTCTTTAAAGACATTTTCATTGCGCTTCTTTCCTTATATCACTAATATTTTGTTTACTCACTTATGACATAACAACTCTGTACTTTCCACCTCATTTTTTCGTGTGTCTGTTGCTAATCTTGATTGCGTACATCAGTGGTGACTTGATATATTCATGATGTGGTTGGTGGTGATGCACAAATCGCCTGCAGATGGGCCCGCCAAAATCAGACACGACTCACACTGGACATCTTAAAGTGCGCTGATGCAAAGCTCATGTCAGTAGGTGAAAATATGCATGGCAGAGTGAGCTTTCTAATGAACAGGTCGAATAACCAATGTTTCTAGAAGCAACTCTATTTCTTTATGTTTTGTTTTATCAGTACACAGGTTCAGGCATTCAACAACACCTTGAAAGCAGTAGCTGATTATTCTATGTCAACTATATTTGACATTACTGTGTCTTTACATTCTCCCGCAGTAGCGGCTGGATATTATCATAATTGTGTCTAAGACTTCATGTCGTTCTGTCTGGGTGTTTCTGTGTCAGTTTGTACTACCAGGTGTGGCTTCCCACAAGAATGTCAAGCTCCACTCTATACATTTCTTCTGAAATCTCCCTCGTCTCGTAGAGGTCTGCTTATATTCTACGTCGGAATATTCCCCCCCCCCCTCTCCACCCACCCCCACCAACAACTAAAATCAATCTCCTTTTTTTTTATTTCAGTTATGATTATGTCAGGCGTCTGAGTACTGCATGTCCATTGTCACAAAGAATCTGTAGTATGTGGCTTCATTACAGTTCTAATCTATGGCAGCTAGATCTTATTGCCTTAGTTACGTACAATGGCCGTCGTACTAAGTGTGGAAATCCATCAGAATGTCCGGTCTATCTGCCATTGCATTACAATAATTATAAATTTGTAGAAAAAACAACGCATTGTTACTGAAAGGAACAAGCATACTCACAATTTTGACATTCTGCTTCTGTTTAATGCAATAAGTGAAATTACTCAAATTTCACATGATGAATTAATCAAGTAACAGAAAGTGTATTCATCGGCACTCATAGAAAGAAGTAGAAAGATAAAAGAACACACCAGACAACATAAAAATTGAAAGCTATAGTTACCGGGACGGGAACTGTACCTGTGGCCTCCAGACGGCGTGTGCGCCTCGCCATGAATACAAGTGCACTAAGAACATGGTCAACTAGGCACCCCCAAAAAAGGTGTCTTATTGGCCATGTCTATCATACAGCTTGGAATCCACAACTATGGAATACGGACAGAATTCATTTCAACCCATTGAAATGGCACCATAGGTTACAAAAATTTATATTAACGAAGCAAATGTCAAATAACAATCACAGCAACAATTTACGAACACAATAGATCTTATTGCTTTGTCTAGAATACACAAACATTTAAGAAAGGTATTTGATTGGTAGGTTCCGGTGTGCATACGTCATTCCTATAAATAAAACAGAGGGGGAACCTTTGGGGCCGTTAAATATTATGAATTAATCAAGTAACTGAAAGTGTATTGATTGGCACTCATAGAAAGAAGTAGAAAGATAAAAGAACACACATTTCACTCAAGAATACCTTAGGGTTCCACCAATCAATTGACAAGTTTTGTGTGTGTGTGTTTTTTTTTTCTTAATCTGGGTCACGATAGTTTTTAAGCGTAGGCCTTTCCCGTTAGGTTCTCGTGTGGTCGTCGAGCCCAAAGTCCAACATTGTGTCTGTTCCGAACAGTTTGATCAGACACATGAGGTCCTGGAGAAAGCTGTTGTAAACCTGTCTCTGAGGTGTCAGAGCCGAATAAAGCGATTGTCCACTACTGTTGTCACTCTGGGTCGTCCAATGCGATATCGGTTTTCAACTAAACCAGTGGCTTGGAACCGGTGCCAAAGTCGACTGATGGTACTCTGATGCATGTTTAGATGCCAGGCAATCTAACTCTGACTTTATCCTACCTGCAGTCGGCCAATAGCAACATTCCTTATATTTATCAATAGAAGCGCCATTCGTGACTGCTTGAAAATGAACTGATCGTCTTTGTTTAGCGTTAACCGTTTATAGGGTTTCAGTTACGTAGGCAGTGAATATTGTTCACTGGAAACTGTGTTGCTTTATCGTGTGCGCATCGTGAGCTATGCTCACAAATATAGTAAACACCTTTGATCACTGCGCTATAGCGATGACAAAAACCCAGGCAATTCACGCTCACATGTCCACTGGACACGGTAAACATCATTTGAGTCTGCTTTTCACATATCCGAAAACTAATAAAAACGCGCGATCGAATAAGTATGCGTTTCTTTTTTTTTTTTTTTTTTAAACAGTAAATTACTAAACTGAATATCCTTGGTACCAAAGCGTGAGCGTCGAGCTTACACCTTCCGTCACCGATCGTCAAAACATCACCTGGACATAAATTGTTTTTTGATCAACTGTTACACCCACGTCTGTGTATTAAAAACACCCATTCCCAAAACCTTCAGTTACAAAAGGCTATCCCTCTATCTAGGGTTGTTTTGTTGAGCAAACTCCGCCCATCTTTCATCATGCGCTATCAGATTAGTTCTAGAAATGTAGTTGATAGTTCCTTCTGCCTGCACTGTTTAGAACGTAATACCTTCACTATCGGTCCCTAGGTCTCACCCAAAGCTTAGTGACGGCAGCTCTCCCTGTCTGCTGAAACTCTTTAAGGCAAATGTTTACATACAGCATTCGAAAGCGCTGAGGTTCCAACAACATGGCACAACATAGCACAACATGGCACAACATGGCACAATATGGCACAACATGGCACAACATGCCACATGGATAAGATCCCATGTCCATCCTAAGATAACGTGAACTTCTTAGCAACGACCTGTTAGCAATTATTAGGTGGCATCCATACTAAGTTACCGAAATAATAAATCGGATGGTAGAGAGTGGGTAGGATGCTCTGTCGTATACCTGCCTCACCTGTAGCATTCACAGCATTAGGCAAACGTACATTTTCTATTGAGTGACAGGCTGCGAAAGGTCGCTGGCGTAATACAGATAACAATTAGTTGCAGGATAACAACGAATATTTTATGGACAATACAGAGCTACATAGGCTTGTGCGTTAAGAATTAAGGCTGAAATATTTGGTGAAGGTTGGTCCTAATGGCGGAGGTAATGTTTGAATGAATGAAGTGTTTATCTATGACAAATTAACATCTAGTGACACAGTGTTCAGACGGCAATGTTTCTTTATATTTGGGTAAACAACATTTTAGAACTTATTCTTTTGAACTAGTAATCTTTGTCTCCAGGCTCATGTGATAAACGAGCTGATTATTTCTGAGACTGTTGTCGTTATTTACGCATCTACAGAAGCCTCTTTCTTATCAGGTGGAATTATTACAGGTAAGTTGTCTTTCCACCAGCATTTATTTATCTTATCTGCATATTTTTTTGCCTTTTCTTATGTATCGTGTGTTTACTTTCTCTGTCAGCCATTTTTGCCTTTGTCTTGTCACATCTTTCTTTTCTCCCTGTATCATGTTTGTTTTTGTCCTATCATGCGTTTGCTGCCCTGTCTTTCATTTCTGCTTCTTACTTAACATGTATTTGCATTTTCCTTAGGTTTTAAACCTCTTCTCCTCCTCCCTCCTCCCCCGCGTCGTATTTTTGTATTGTATCTTTATTGCACCTATGTAACTGCTATGTGTATGTATCGTGTTTGGGTTCATTCCGGCGTGAGTTTATAGTTTATATAAATTATTTCATGTTTCATTCTATCGTTGAATTAGTTCCTCTGGTCATCACATGATCATGTGTTGTTTCTTCTCCGTGGCTCATCCATTACTAGACAGTTATCTAGTTCAGTGGTTCCCAGCTATTGATTTCTTCTAAGAATAAATGTATTTGGCAGGGCCGTTTATGCATACTGTACCCTGCTTGAAAGTAATGGTAGGGAGTGTAGCAATAGGGGGTAGACGGTGTGGGAATTTAAAGAAACAGGAATAGATAAACAGGCGCAATGTCCATGCAGTGGTATTTGTTTTATGTTATGGTAATCCTAGTTTCAGCTTCATAGTAAACGGGTCACCCCACAGATGCTCCCCTCCTGTGCCAACGAAAAACAAACGCAGCTCACAGTGTCACGCCATGCACTCAAATCAGAAGCTGGGCGACGAAACTACTCTACTCTGCCGTGTAGCCCTGGCAGTTACGTCTATCTACAGCCTTCTGTCTCGAGTACTTTAAATCAACTCTGACACAGATGATCCTCCATGCTATGATGTCAAACTGTCCAACATCTGTTCTCTCGGTCTCACTCTGCCTCACCTCCCCTCCAACTTTCCTATCGTCACGATGTTCTCCAGTTTTCTTCTTCTCATCACATGAACAAAGAATGTAGATTGTCTCTTTCTGATGTAGGCAATCAGTTCACTTCGTGAGTCATTTTCTTTAAAGACATCCTCATTACTGACTTTGTTAATCTGTCAATAGTATTCTCATCATTTGTCTGAAAAACTACATCTCCGCAGCTTCCAACTGTCCATGATTCACTTTAGTATATCAAAATATAATTTAAAAAGCTTTTGAAAGAATTCTCTTTCTCGTCTAAATTGACAAAAAAGATTGCATAAAATATTCTTTAATTTGTAAAATGCTACCTTTGCTTGAGCTATTGTACATTTCATTTCTGTAATACGCCTCCCATCTGATGTTTTCAGTGCACCCAACTGCACTATTTATTGTTTGGCATACATTGCTGTGTCTCGTCAGGTGCATCAATACAGAGTTACATCTTCATTTTATGTTGACATAACACTGTAGTCATGTACTTCAAGAGATATGACGAACAATTCTTTGCACTGTCCAGCCATTTTATATCACATAGAACTCGCAGTCCACCCGTTCATTGTTTCCGGTGCACTCAGTTCAATACCACGAGTCAATGCCAGTCTAACAGCTTTGGCCTGTCTCACCAAGGTTCGTCTTGAAGTCTTTTTTGTTTTTGTTGTTGTCTTCGCCTCCGTATCCCTTTACTTCCCTTTTTAACGCCTGTGTGGTGATTCTCTGATGGTTCCTCCTTAGGATGTGTCCAAAGTAGCGCCATCTTCTATGTCTTACAACTGTTGATATTTGTGGTTAACCAGACTTTTCCATCATTTCCTAACTCCTTTTGAATTCAGCCTATATTTTTTTCAAAAATTTTCACAGGCAGTTGTTTTCAAATACATTTAACTTTCGTTCCCTGTTTTTAATTCGTTCTCCAACCTTTACCTGCATATGTTAAAACTGAAATAATCTTAGAACAGAAAATATGCAACTTGGTTTTAAAACTACACAGTTGTTATAGTTCCTCGTTTGGTTGAAGCTATTCAAAGCTGCTGATGTCCTGCCAGTGCGTGTCACAATTTCTATCTTTGTATTTCTTTCACTGCCAACATTACCATCTAAATAAGTACACGATCTGTTACTTTAGATATTTTGTCTCTAGTGTAACATCTGCTTGATCTAATCTTGGTGGCTTTAATATATTTAACTTGTCATAACTTATTTGTAGCCCAACCCTTGGTGCTATAATTGAGAAATCTTCTGTTTTCTTTGCATGTCACGGCTATTTTTACTTAGCAGAAGAATGTCGTCAGCAAAATAAAAATCTTCCGACTGTGTGTTCTCCACCCAGTCAATGACGATGTTTCCAGTACAATATTTTTGTCATTGTTTTGCCAAATAACAGAAGAGATCAAATGCATCCCAGTTTCACTCCAGTATCAATTACAAACCAATCACTTAAACCATCGTCTGTTCGCACTGCACACTCTGAAGCTTCATAAATTGCCTTAACAATATGTATTATTTTCACTGCATACCATCACATTTCTCGATTGCCCACAGTGATGTTCGTTGTAAATTATTAAAACCCTTCTTAAATTAAATAAAATTCAAAATAAGGGGTCGTTGTTTTTCAATAATTTTCTCAAAAAATAATTTCGTAGTGAATATTTGATAATTTTTTTTTCATTTGATACCCTTAAGTAGGCATAGGGTTGCTGCCAACTTCACTCGAATTTGACCGAGACAGCTACAGCCCACTGGACAGACCCAGCGCGCACAGACCCCTCCACGAGCGTTAGTGCCAACTTTGGGAACCAATGGGCTAGACAATTGTCTGACATCCCAATAAATGTTGGTGTACACGTTATCTTGGTTTCCAGTTTACCCAGCTTCAGTCAACAAGGAACATTTTCCATGCCTTCAAGTGTATTGGGTATATAGGGCTAGACCTATATTTTAAAAACCAAACAACACTTGATGGAAGATGTGGTCGGCATCGCGCCAGTTGCCTTTACGTTCCATAACTGTTTATGGTACTCACTCAAGGCTGGGTCGATCTGGCAGCTAAGATAGTTTAAAAAAACTTAGCTCCCGTCGGGACCCAAACCCACGACCTTCCAATTGGCCGGCGGGCTTGTATCCTCTACACCACGGCCGATCCCCGGGATGAAATAGGTATCAGAAAATACACAGCCAGCCTGGTGATGCCCACATCATACCATTTAAATTGTTCTTTTCTGCACAGTCAGCCTGGTGATGCCCACATCATACCATTTAAATTGTTCTTTTCTGCACAGTCAGCCTGGTGATGCCCACATCATACCATTTAAATTGTTCTTTTCTGCACAGTCAGCCTGGTGATGCCCACATCATACCATTTAAATTGTTCTTTTCTGCACAGTCAGCCTGGTGATGCCCACATCATACCATTTAAATTGTTCTTTTCTGCACAGCCAGCCTGGTGATGCCCACATCATACCATTTAAATTGTTCTTTTGTGCACAGCCAGCCTGGTGATGCCCACATCATACCATTTAAATTGTTCTTTTGTGCACAGCCAGCCTGGTGATGCCCACATCATACCATTTAATTTGTTCTTTTCTGCACAGTCAGCCTGGTGATGCCCACATCATACCATTTAAATTGTTCTTTTGTGCACAGCCAGCCTGGTGATGCCCACATCATACCATTTAAATTGTTCTTTTCTGCACAGCCAGCCTGGTGATGCCCACATCATACCATTTAATTTGTTCTTTTCTGCACAGTCAGCCTGGTGATGCCCACATCATACCATTTAATTTGTTCTTTTCTGCACAGTCAGCCTGGTGATGCCCACATCATACCATTTAAACTGTTCTTTTGTGCACAGCCAGCCTGGTGATGCCCACATCATACCATTTAATTTGTTCTTTTCTGCACAGTCAGCCTGGTGATGCCCACATCATACCATTTAAATTGTTCTTTTCTGCACAGTCAGCCTGGTGATGCCCACATCATACCATTTAATTTGTTCTTTTCTGCACAGTCAGCCTGGTGATGCCCACATCATACCATTTAATTTGTTCTTTTCTGCACAGGCACCAGTTAATGAATGTCTGTAGTTTGTTTGTAATTGCCTTAGTTGTTTTCCATGTTTCCGCCCCTTACAAAAGTATTGATTTGACATGAGAATTAAATAATTTAAGTTTAGTATTTCTTTTAATTTCTTTTGACCTCCACAGATTCCCTAGTGCTATGAAAGCCCCCTCTTGCCTTTTGTATTCTTTTTTAAAATATCTATCAATTTTCCCATCTTTATCTACATTATTGCACAAACAGGTGTACGACTCCACGTCTTGGAGCGGGTGCCATTAAGAGAAACCACATTACTATTTGCCTGATTTATTCTCATGATCTGTGTCCATGGCTGTTGTTTTGACAGGATGATGTGATACAGCTTGACCTAAATTCTACAGATCAATTGGCACTCAATGGATAATATTGTCAACATCACACCAGCTGCCTTCATTTTCGAGGACTTTACCATATACTCACTTGAAGCTCTATCGACTTAGGAACCAAGTCTATCGATCGAATTTGAACCCACAGTTATCGGATTCCCAGGCGAGCGTCTAGCCGCTACACCACAGTCACACCTTGAACAAAATGGATCAATGCTAAATATTTGTTGCTTAAATAAAACCAAACAACAATAAAACAAAATATTTTGTTTTGAATGCATAAATCCATGAGGGAATAAATGGATGGATTATTTAACGAAACAAATTATATATGTTTCGCCAGCAGAATCAGTGGCCACTGAAGAGACCACACGCAGACTGCCAACTTGTTTGCAATCCTATCTGGCCACCTAGTTGACTTCTTATTGTCCCTTTACATGGCCTTGGTGATCATGGCCGTCCAATGCCTTCTGACCAGTGCTCAATCCGACTCATGTTTGCAATCAACGATGGCCAGGGAAGGGTTTGAATGTTATTGGCAGCCAGGAACTGCGTGGTCAGTAGTGCAGAAAGGGCTCTGGCGTTGTCCTGTTGAAAAAGATACCTGTTGGCATCCCAAAATAGAAGGACATGTGGTAGAAGAATTTCTTAGACGTATTGTTGCGCATTCAAGCTTCCTTCAATGTTCATTATTTGACTGTGCATGTATGGAGTGCACATACATTTATCTAGCACAATATTTCCCATAAACTATTGGTGTAAACAAGGTCTTTTTTTTTTTTTTTTTCCGAACTTCAAACAGTT